ATATATATAGTTTTATTTATTCATTGTGTTGTTTGCCCCACCCCACCCCCCAAATCAAACAAACACTCCCGATACAAAGGCTTGGTTTTTCATGAGTTCTGTGCCCTGTTGGGGTTTGCCTGTAGCCTGAAGGGCTGATGGGAACAGAACACCCTTCATGTGTGTATGAGAGCTCCATAGCAGTAGCAAGGTTGGGATCTGCAAGAACCCTCGTGACTTTGACAAAAATCCAATGCATTTGGGATCCAATGCATTTCTGTCGCAGCAAAAGCAGTAGCCCATTTAGCCTTGTCTACATGAAAGGACCATGGACTACCAAAGAATTATAGCCAGAACTCTCCTAAGAAGCAATGCTGGTGAGACTTCATCTCACGTACTTTGGACATGTGATCAGTAGAGATAGGTCCTTAGAAAAGGACACCATGCTTGATAAAGAAGAGGGGCATGGCCAAAGAGGTAGACCCTCAATAAGATGGAGTGGCACTGTGGCTGAAAAGTGAGCTCCACCATGAGGACAATAGCGAAGATGGCGCAGGAGCAGGCCATGCACCGTGCATAGGAATGCTATGCGTCGGAACCACTTGATGGCGCCCAACAGTAACAATATATGACATCTTATCTTGTCTTCATTTTTCTTCCTTTTTGAAATTGTCTTTCAACTCTTCTATAGGTTTGATGGTTTCAAAATAAAATGTCAGGGGAAATGCCACAAGGAATATATTAGTTATAAGAACTTACCTCTGACCTGATGCCGGAGGCTTAAGTGGAGAGAAAGTGTTTTGAGAGTGATGAGGGCAATGAATGTGCAAATGCGCTTTACACAATGGATGTATGTATGAATTGTGATAAGAGTTGTATGAGCCCCTAATAAAACGATTTAAAAAAAAAAAGAGGTAAACAGTTAACGCCCTGAGGAAGTGGACAAAAGACCTGAACAAAAGTTTCACTAGAGAGGAGACCTGAATGACCAATAAATATATGAGAAAATGCTCCCGAAAAAAAAAAAAGAACTTACCTCTGAATACTGATATTACATCCTAATACTATTCCTGTCCCATCTCCTACAGTTAAAAATTGTATCAATCTTTCCAGATTTATTTCTTGGCACTTACAAATATATATAGCATATCATTGTTTGGGTCTTTAAAAACAACAACAACAATGTGGGTTAGTGCTATATTAATGTATCTCTGGGGCTCTTTTAAAAAATTAAAAAGTATGTGTTGAACAGCTAGAGGTCTACTTTATAATAGTCTATTATTCCATAGTATGGCTGCACCACAGCTTACCTAACCATCCTCCTAGTGACAAATGTTTCTGTTCTTTCTATTTTGTGTTTTATAACAGAACCCAACTCTCCCGGCACTGAACTGTTCCGTTGAAAATGCCCATCCAACTGTTTCTTATTATGCTCGTCCCCAAGTGGCATCCTACAATACCTACTACCATAGCCCTCCTCACCTGCCACCATATTCTGCTTATGATTTTCAGGTAGGTTTTCAGAGCAAAAGAAATCTCCATCACCCTTGTTCTCACTCATGCGCTCTTGTTCTCTCACTGAATTCAATTCTGAAACCTTCTCAGTCTCTTGATAGGTATGAGGGAGCCAAGCTCTTTGTCCTTGATGGCCTTTAGCACTGTCTGGGTACCTGTGACTACCTTAAAGACTGCTTAGGCAGGGGATGCTTGGGAAAATGGAGAGGGAGAGCGAGCTATGAAAGGAAAAGAAACAGCGGAATGGAGGGACGGGGGGAGAAGGGAGTAGGATGGAATTGTCCAATCTTGCTTGGCCTCCACTAAGGAGAAGAATTATCTGGGAAATGGAACTTCATTAGTACAGCATCATACACCCCTGTCCAGTAGCAGTTTTTACTATGTTTCTGTAACAGGAGATGCCTCACCCTACGCAAGAGCATTCTGAACCATTTAAATGTTATAATCAAACCTGTCAGGAGTCCCTTTCTTTTCTTTTTCTCTAGACTTCCTAACTAGGCTGATGTGAAGAAAGTATATCTTTTTTTTATAACCACTCTTCCTATCGCATAGGTCCGAAATAGTGTTACCAAATTTTCACTTGCTTCTTTCCCCTGTGAATTGATATTTAACTGCAGAAAAATAGACCCTCAAAGGCAGATACAATGGCATTGATCATGTTTGGAGGACTGAACTAGGAATTCTGGGAAAATAATGAAAATGGTCCTTTCAGGGTTTACAGTAATTTTAAACACTTGACTTTAAAAGAATGGGATCACACTAAAATCTGATTCATTCAAATTACAGGGCCACGGGGAAAACCTTTGAAAGAAGCGAAGCCCACCGTGGTTTCCTTCTATTGACTAAGAGCTCATGGAGGCTCCAAAGGGACCTCCACCATGACTGACTATTAGGGCGGAGGGGCACTTCCAATCAAACAGCCAGTTCAGGGATACAAAACCCTTGGGAAACTGTTTTTCAACTTCATATTAATAAGATTGAAACTGGAAATTTTCTTTACTGGAGTGGAGTGCAGTTTTGCTCTGATTTAGATACTATTTGGGGAGGTCTAGGATTCTATATCACAATAATAATACTACCTGTAATATGAACATATACTTGTTCACTATTATAAAATATAGCACTAAAAAAAGGATTCGAATTCCTTGAAGGCAGGCAGATATAATCCAATCACAGGTCAAATTGCACTTCATGATGGATTTAGCGATATCCTTTCTGACAATGAAAGCCAAGCCGTTCCTCTTGATCATGTTATTACCAGCATAGTAAATCATATGATTTTCTGATTCACAATGGTCAATACCAGTTCATTTGAACTCATAATGCCTAAGATATTGATCATCATGTGCTCAGTTTTATCTATGACGACTTCCAGTTTTCCTAAGTTCACACATCACACGTTCTAGGTTTCCATCATTAGAAGATTTGTGCAGCTGGTTCCCTTTACCTTGAGTTGTGCCTCATCAGCAAAAGGAGACCCCAAAGGCTTCATTCCCCCAGGCTTTACTGGACTCACATCACTGTGATTGATACCCCTCCAAGAAACCATTGCCTCTTCAGTCACATTTCGGGTGCCCTCGGACCTGAGGGATCCATCCTCCGTCAATATCTCTGACAAAGTTCTGCTTCCTGTGTTTAGACTTTCCGTATTTGACAATGCTTCCAAGCTCTGCATCAGGTTTTCAGTGGCTCCTTCCTCTGAAGTGGGGAGCCGAGTCCTTCTTCATTGTCTGATCTTAGTCTGGAAGCTCTGCTGAACCTTGTTCACTTTGGGTGGTCCCCTGGCATTTGAAATACCAGTGACGTAGCTTTCAGCGTCACGGCAACACACAAGTCACTGCAGTGCAATAAATTGACAGGCAAGTGAAGTACAATGCTATCTGTGATCAGATTATATCTATCCGCCTTCAAAGAAAGCCAATCAATACAAATATAATTCAACATTATGCACTCACCCCAAAAGCTGGTGATAAAAAAGATTGAAGAATTCTACCAACAACTTCAGTCGGAAATTGATCAAACGTGCAATCAAGAACCATTGGTAGTTATTGGTGATTGGAATGCAAAAGTTGGAAACACGGAGGAAGGAAGAGTGGAAAGGAAAGGCAGGAAAATATGGACTTGGTGATGGAAATGAAGCTGGAGATCCCCTGATAGAATTTTGGGAAACCAATGACTTGTTCATAGTAAATACCTTTTTTTCCCAACAACACAAAAGGCGACCATATACATGGGCTTCCCCAGATGGAATACATAGGATCAAATCGACTACATCTGTGGAAAGACACAATGGAGAAGCTCACTATCAGCAGCTAAGAACAGACCGGGGTCCGACTGTGGAACAGACCTTCAATTTCTCATAAGTAAGTTCAGGATAAAGCAGAAGAAAATTAAAACACATCCATGAGTCAAAATACCACCTCATTTTAGACAACCTCTCAAGAACAGATTTGCTGCACTGAGCACTACTGACAGAAGCCCTGACGAGCTGTGGGAGGAAAAGACCATCCTTCAGGAAGAAAGCAAAAACTGATTTAAAAGACAGGAAAGAAAGAAAAGTTCAAAGTGGATGTGAGAAAAGACTCTGAAAAATGATCTTAATCGTAGAGTAGCTAAAGAAAATGTGAAAAAGGATGAAGTCAAGGAGCTGAATAGAAAATCACAGGGCAGCTCAAGAAGGCAATGCCACATATTATATCACAATGCAAGGACCCAGCATTAGAAAATCAAAAGGGAAGAATATGCTCAGCATATTTCAAACTGAAAGAACTAAAAAAAAAAAATGCAAGCCTTGAGCTGCAATTTTGAAAGACCCTCTAAGCAAAATATTCAATGGTGCAGGAAGCATCAAGAGAAGATGGAAAGAACACACACTCACTGTACCAAAAAGAACTAGTCGACAGTCCACCACTTCAGGAGGTAGCATGTGAGCAAGAACCCATGGTACTGAAGGAAGAAGTTCAAACTGTACTGAATGCATTAGCCAAAATCAAGGGTCCAGGAATTGACAGAATACCCCTTGAAATGTTTCAGAAAGCCAAATCACTGATGCACTCATTTGTCTATGCCAGGAAATTTGGAAGACAGCTACTTGGCCAACTAACTGGAAGAGATCCATATTTGTGCCCATTCCAAAGAAAGACGATCCAACAGAATGCTCAAATTATAGAATGATATCATTGAGAGCGCAGACAAGTAAAATTTTGCTTAAGATCACCCCACAACGTTTCCAGCAGTGCATTGACAGGGAACTGTCAGAAGTTAGGACAGATTCAGAAGAGGATGTGGAGCAAGGGATATCGTTGCTGATGTCAGATAGATCTTGGCTGGAAGCAGAGAATGCCAGGAATATGTTTACTTGTGTTTCATTGACTATGCCAAGGCATTGGGCAGTGTGGACTGTAATAAACTGTGGATAGCCTTGAGAAACCTAGGAATTCCAGAACACTGCATTGTCCTCATTTGGAACTTGTCCATGGATCAAGAGGCAGTTGTATGAACAGAGTAAGGGGATACTGAATGGTGTAAAGTCAGGAAAGGTGTGCAGGGTTGTATTCTCTCACCATACTTGTTCAGTCTGTATGGTGAGCAAATCATCAGAGAAGCTGGCTTATATGAAGAAGACTGTCGCATCAAGAGTGGAGGAAGGCTTATTAACAGGCTGTAGTATGCAGATGACACAACCTTGCTTGCTGAAAGTGAGGAGGAATTGAAGTCCTTGCTGATGAAGATCAAGGATTGTAGCCTTCAGTCGGGATTACAATGTAAGGGAGACCACATTCCTCACAAGTGGATTAATAGGTAACATCATGATAAATGGAGAAAGGATGAAGTTGAAAAGGATTTTGTCTTACTTGGATCCCCACGCAATGCCCATGGAAGCAGCAGTTAAGAGATCAAAGGACACATTACTATGGGTCAGTCTGCTGCACAAGACCTCTTCAAAGTATTGAAGAGCAAAGATGTTACTTTGAGGACTAAGGTGCACCTGACCTGAAACCATGGTATTCTCCATTGCATCATAAGTTTGGGAAAGTTGGACATTGACTAAGGAAGATTTTAGATGAATCAATGTATTTGAATCGTGGTGCTGGAGAATATTGAAAGTACCATGCACTGCTAAAAGGACAAGCCGATCTGTATTGAAAGAAGTAAGGCCAGAGTGCTCTTTAGAGGCAAAGATGGGAAGACCTGGTCTTTCATGTTTTAGACATATTGTTACGCGATATCAGTCCTTGGAGAAGGACATTCTGTTTGGTAAAGTGGAAGGGCAGCCAAAAATAGGAAGGCCCTAAATGAGCTGGATTGACGCAGCAGCTGCATCACTGGGCTCAGGTCCAAGAACAATGGTGAGGGTGGTGTAGGACCGTGTAGTGCTCCCTTCTGTTGTGTATAGGATCGCTATGGGCTGGAGCTGACTGAATGGCACCTAACAAGAATAACCACAACACAAAGAAGGTGTCCATTAAAGCTTGGGGGAAAATAATATTAGAACTCACATTAAAGCCTACTATAGAAATAGTATAATAGATGCCCACCATGACTAAGGCTGTTAGTTTCTGCTCAGTCATCGCTGACCTCTGTGTTCCCATGTACCAAGCATGGTTAAGAGCTATTATGTGGAGAGTGAATGATACATGGTCCCTGCATCAAGAAATTAGTCTGGAGACGTGGCAATGGCAGGGGATGAAATGCTATGGAAACCCGAACCAGGGTACCTAACCCAGGGAAGGCATCCAGAACCAGCTACCTAGCCAAAGCCCACACTGTGGAAAGACAGCAGGGAATTCAGGGATATGTGGAAGCCTACACTTTTTTTATTACAGATGCCATTCACTGAGCACTTCACTATGACCCAAACACTGTGTTTAAACACTTCACCTCTCATTTAGCCCTCTGAGGGAAGTCTTATTGTCTTCGCTGTTTTAAAGATGAGATCGCTGTCATGGTAAGTGGAGGAGCCAGAATTCATATCCAGGTCTGTCTGACTCCAGTCCACATGTGTCATTGTTATATTATCTCCAAATATAAGTGATTTAAAAGGATTGTATGGAGAAACCAGACGTCTGTATGAAGCACAGATATTTTTAGAATCTTTTAAAAGTCTTATGCTTTATCCTAGTTTAAACTCGGAACTCCCTAATTATGACCTCAGGAAGGATTTACCTCTACTCTGTCTTAGCTAATAAATTACTAGATTGGTCTCCATTGAAAAGGATTAATTTTCTACATGACCTTCCAATCCAGCGGATGCTTGGATACCTTTTCATACCTCTCCCGGTTCTTTCCTTAGGCTCAAGCCAGCTTTTGAATTTCCTGTTGGGAGACTTCCTAATTGTATTATCTGGGTAGAGAGGGGTATATTTGCAAATGTGTAATTTCCTTCAGGAGCTTACAGTGTTGTGTTTTAGGATTTGAGTTGACCTTTTGTTCACTAGGGTGAACAGAATTAGCTTACAGTTTCACAAGAGGAATACCAGTCTTTATCCAGAGACAACCAAGAGGCCAGGGGGACATCTGCTTGTATTCCCAGAGAAGTAAAAAAGCAGCCAGCAAAGCGCACACACACTCTGCAAGTACTGCCACCAGAAACACACACTGCCAAACAGAGAAACAAAGACAAGCTGTCGTTCCCTCCGACTCTTCCCGACTGGAAAATGGCCCAAGTTATACCGAGAAAATGGGCCTTTCAAGAGATTTTTTTCTGAATGGCTTTTCCATTTTGGTCATTTCGAAATAAGATTCTTTAGGTAGCGTTGGTTTGAAGGCTCCTGAGGGTGATAGAAGGACGTGAAAAGAGGTGTCAAGGATTTTGTTCTAACCTCTCAAATGGCATGCTGCTGTTGGGTAATTGTCTTATTAGGAAGCTTGGTCAAGGCTTGAGGAAGGATTGGGGTCTGGCCAGATGACCTTTAAAAAGTTGGACCTGAAGTAACAGGGCTCTGTGGCACATCGGACTCCTAGCTATCCTTTCTCCTAATGAACTCTCCATAGCCCACTCTCTTAGAGGGATCTGAGCAGCGACGGGTTTTACCTCCTTGTTTCTCTCCCACATTCGCACCCTTTGCACTTTGTACTCATTTCCCACCCTATGCCTTCAGCTTCAGGCAAGTAATACAACTTCGATAGTCGATGAAGCACCATTTCCCACTTCTGAGAAATCAAGGCCAGTGTTGCTTTCCATAAAACCCTCCCAGCTCCTAGCCATATTTCCTGGTCTGCCATACTGAGCTAGTTCCCCTACTTCACTTTCACCAAGAATTGGTCCCTTCTCCTGTCCATTAGGTGAAATGCCAAGTGTAAGCTTAAAACAAAAGTCTCAGCCTATGCAAAATGCCAGCACCTCTCTGTATGCTTTATAGGAAATCGCAAAGTGGGTATACTGTATTTCAGCTTAGCCATTCAAAGTGACCCATTGAATAAAAGGATTACTTTCATCCTGGGGGAGGTAATTTATGGCATTGGTTACCTAGAGTCTTAAAAGGCTGTTGCTGCTGCCACAAGACTTTTTTGTCTTTCTCTGCAAGTTCCTTCCCTTCCCAAGTTTCCCATCATGGCCTTGTTTCTGTCCCCCCTCCTTTCATCCTGCCTCTGCCTTTCATCCATTTTTCTCGACATCCTCCCCGTCTCTACTTTCTGGAGTAGAACAGAGGTCAAGGGACACAGTCTCTCCTACTTGTCACCTTTACTACCCAGACAGTTCCAGCGCCTCTTTTCTGGGTCCCAGAGAATCAGATCCTGATGAAAATGCACATTGCTCTGAGGAGAGTGAGTCAAGTGGTCATCCATCTGGCAAGCTAGCTAAGGGGGGGGGGGAGCTGTCTCCTGAATGGGTGGGCCTCCACCTTTAGCATCATCAGCCTGTAGGCCGTCCCAGCCTCCCAGGAAGCTGCCCAGGAAACCAGAACCCAGTAGTATTTAGATGCTTTCATGCCTTGTAGTACACAAGGAGGATTCAAAGCTGTGGTCTCCTGAGCTGCCCAACCCGTTAGTGAATTCAGACTCGCAGACAGGAACCCAAATACGTGGGGCCAGCTCCCCAGCTGCAACCAAGCCAAATTTCTCCCAAGATACCGAACAGTTGCTAGGAAACGACACACTAGGACTATGAACTCCCCCCCTCCCAACCTATTTTCTTTTCTTTCTATACTGCACCCCCCATGCCAAACAAAGCAAAACAAGGATATGTGGATCAGGGCCAGTTAGCTTCCTAGCTCTGCCAGGAGCCTTTCATTTTTATCCTTAAGACTCTCAGAATCTCCAAGGGTAAGTGAGAATCATTCCATTCCACCAGCTTCAACACACACACACACACACACACACACACACACACACACACACACACACACACAACTTCCTAAATAGGAAACTGAGAAGTGAAAACCCACAGGCCGTGGTACCACCCCTTTTATTACTGAAGTGTCCAACTGCCACCCATGCCAGCTGCTGCCCACAGAAGCCTTTTACTGCCTCTCGGGACAGAAATGCCTTTCGGTTGCTCCTTTTTTCTGTGACCCACAGCCCCTAAAACTGGCCATCTGCCTTTCACCATCCCCATAGTGGGAGTTAGAATGGCTCTGACGCAGAGATTCTTGTCCCTCAGGGTGTTTGCTCCATTCTCTGGTGGAGAGGAGAGGGCTGTTAAAGAAAGCAACAGAAAAGCAGGGAAAAGAAAAGGAGAAAGGCAGAGTTCAGGGGCTTAGGAAGCTAGGGCATCACTATACTGATGCTTTAAGAAAGACGATATTTTAGAAGGGAGAAACATTGGGGTTTTAGGAAGGAATTTTATTTGTCTTTAATTGCTCTCTAGGTTTGATGACATTACCATTTCTTCACCTAGGAGAAAAAAAGGAATGGGGTAGGAATGGAGGGGGCAGATGGCTGCTCCAGTGTCTATTTGGTCAATGTGATAAGATAGGAGACAGAGATCCCAGGGTGTCAAGCAAGACCTAGACCTGGCCTTCCTTTCCCCAGAATGCGGAGGTCATGACAGCAGATAAGGAGAATCAACTCTGTGGCAGCAGGCTCCATACCCCTCATGTCCAGGCTGACCCTAGATTGCTCCAGGCCTGGAACAATGACATCACTTAGTCGGCCCTTTGGGCCAGCCCAGGGAGATGAGGATCACCCACTGCTGGCACCAGATTTCATGGGGGAGATCACAACCCGTTCAAGATGATGCTGCATCCTATGGAAACCTCGGCTTCCTTACTCTACTCATTTCAGACCCAGTTGCTCATGCAGCCCTTCTCACGCTCATGCCCTGTTGCAAAGGGCTAGGTTACTAGGTACTGGTTGCAAGCTCAGGAGTTCACATGATTCCTTCCACTTCAAATCAGCTGGCTCCCATTACTCTCATGGGTCCTATAGTTCACTGGGATGACTCAGAGATTCCACAGAGAACACACAACTGATTCACTGCAACCCAAAAGGCTACATACAAAGAGACACATAGAGTGGTCTTGGAGGAGTCACAGCACAGAGATTTTACATCCCATGGAGGGACCCACGATTCTCACTCATGTCTGGTCACCAACCAGGAAACTCCACCTGAAGCTCTGTGCTCAAGGTTCTGATCAGCCTCACCATGTGCTCCATGATAGATTGAATCGTGCCTCTTGAGGCTTAGTAAGCGTCAGGCCCCAAGTGGTCCCGTTGGTCTGGCCAGGCCCCATTCATTAGCCTTGGATATTGGTCCATCTCTCAGGAACCAAGACCAAAGGCTAATAATGGCTTTTCCACATTTCACAATAGACCAATCAAGTCAAAGTGGTGAATTCCCCAAATAACACTCGAGCTCTTGAGAAATTCTGATGTTTCTTTCCTTTCATTTTTTTATCAACTCCCTCTAGAGTTAAGTCATGACAAAATAATTGCACTGCCTCAACCCTGTTTGCTGGCTTATATTTGCTCTAAGTCCCCTCCTGCCATCAAGCCTCACCTCAATTTCTGTTCCATCACTGAAGCAAGGAAGCAGTACTTACAGGTTGTGGCTTGTTTGCAAGCAGAATTCATTAAAAAAAAAAACCCACATCAAACCTGTCTTATATACTGCTGAAGTTATATCCAATCATTTGGCATGTACTGAGCATTTACTACTTGCCACGCACTGTTCAAAACTCTGGGGACACAGCAATGAACCAAATAGGCCAACTCTCCTTGAGCAGGAAAATCATTAGATTGGAAGGTGCGCATGACCAGGGAAAGAGAAGGAGCAAGTGACTCCTAACATGTGCCACTCTACTGAATTTGTTGTTTAATCCATATCCCCTCCATAGAATTGGGTCTTCAATGTCTCTGCAGCCTGTTGAGTTGCTCCTCATTCTTACCATGGGTGTCATACTGCCTTGCCTTGTTCCTTTTCGCTCTCCAGCCTACCATGACCTTCGGGGCAATGGGATAGTTTAATTGGGAAACAGAAAATGTTGAACTAGAATCAGAAAGTTCTAGAGTCCTATAAGTCATTGGACCTTGCCGAACTTTGTTGTGTGTTGTGGTTGTTTCTGAGATGAGTTCCTGACTACCTTCCTACGTCCCTGTGATGTATTCTTATAGCAGACTTTCCCAATTATTTCAACCCATTGAAGTGTCAAGATGCAAACTACTTGTACTGAAGACTAGCTGGGATGCTGTTGACATAGCTCAGGGGAGAGGAACTGAAGGTTTGAATTAGCAAACATCACAAAGGGGATGATGGCTTCAAGAGATGCCACAGAGCTAGAAGCAACATGATGTCGCAACTGACTGGACGTAGGGCTCTAGGGTAGGGAAAAAGAACCCTAAGTTCTCTCCTGCATGAAATCTTCAGCCCGGGTGACTGAATATGGAGCCACCTGTTTTGTGCCGCTTGTTAATGAATTAAAGTATTTCCGTTCCCAAGGAACGTCAACTCAGTCCATATGGTTGTAAATAGTGATGGCTACCGGGGGATGGCAAACTCCCTCCATGCACTGATGGTGTTTTGTTTTTATTACACAGCATTCCAGTGTCTTCCCATCCTCCCCTCCCTCTGGACTTTCTGACGAGCCCCAGTCTGCCTCTCCCTCACCCAGCTACATGTGGTCCTCGAGTGCGCCACCCCGTTACTCTCCACCCTACTACCCGCCTTTTGAGAAGCCACCTCCTTATAGTCCCTAAAGAGGAACATCTGCTGGCTATTGAGATTATTGTGGCTTTTGTATTTCTGCTTTAGTGGAAGTGTATAGGGTACAAATTTTCCAATCTGACTCATACATTGTTTCAAATTTTACAATGGCCTGCCAGGATAGGGAAAGATTGAGATGGAGCTTCTTTGGCATCAGTACAGAGCAAGGGGAGTTGGGGGGCTGGTGTTTGAGGGTGGTGGTGGTTAGGCTGAACCCAGGGCTTCTGGTAAGGGTGGTTCACACTAAGCAAGGCTGGGGAGCCAGCTTAGCATATTTAGACCTGTGCTACCCATCGGTTCCACCTCTGGAGTTAGCAGAAGAGAGCAGTCATCGGTTTCACTTCATGGGAACAGAGTGTTGTCCTCATATCCCTGGCCAATTGCCACCCTAGCCCCTTGGTTAAAGGACCTGGCTCATAGGCCCTCTCTTTCGCTACGACTAAAGTCAGTCTCCAAGGACAATGGCCCAGCTGGCGGGTCTGCACCATTGTTCCAGTACAGAGAGAGTTCTGGTAAAGATTTTCTTTGCTTGTGTCTGGATGCTGGCAAAAGCTGCCTGTATCTCTTATTCCTTTCTTCTCTGTGAATATTGTCAAAATGGCTGTTGTGATCATTTAGCTCCCCTTGTGTTACTGGGACCTCCACAATGGAAAAGTGCAATATTCCCTCATCATGAGTTGTGGGGAACAGGATGGATCATTCCAAAAGGACTGAAATACCCAGAGCAAACATGTGAGATGTTTAAAATGAATCCGTCCATTGGGAAAGTGACTGTACTCCATGTCTCATGAGGACAAAACACACTTGCTACAGGAGTGAGACATCTTATAACGGTTGAAATTCAGCATTACAAGACAAAAAAAGCTAGATGAGGTTCTTGGGTCATGATATGAATTGTTATTAATCTTTGTGACTATTTAATCTTCAACTATTGTGCTTCTACCCCAGCAAACAGCACGTATCCTGCACCCTAGCCCTAAAGAATCATTTGTATTTTACGGCCACTTGCTCTTACTGGTCCCCCTTGTTTTCTGGCTGAGACCATTCAGGACAGTATTCAAGTCAAGGTTATGAAAGTTTTACAATGCTGCTTCTTAAGTGTTACTGTAGACTTTAGAAATCCATCTGGCACATTGTGCTATTTTGTCCAGGTCCTTTTAATGACATGTAGCTTTAAACCATCGACCGGACGGAATCCCAAACACTTGGGCATCCATGCCTTCACTTCCGAATGAACACTTGCATCGGCATTCTTTAGTCAGTCTGAGAAGTGCTTGATTTAAAGGAAGATGGATAATCCTACACTTGCATAATGTACAAATACAGGGGCTACAGGAGGGGACCGGACAAATAGTTCTGCACCCACAGAACACGTACTGGGAAACTTTTCGCCCATTTCGCTATCTTCCACCTTGGTGGAGTAGAGGTAGCAGTCAAAATGCTGGTGCTCGCATCTACCTTGTAGACACCCAGTCATCGAGAATCAAGGCACAACAAGTGCGCTTATCACTCACCACAGATCTTTGCAGACAGAACATTCTGTTTAACTTTCAGCATTACAAGTGTTGTCTCATCCAGATCTCCATTCTGAAACCTGATAAGCCTTTTACATTCTACAAAATTATTGTTATTTTCTACATTTTGGAGCATTATTAAATTTCGATTGGATTTCAAATAGGATGACTTGACCAATTGATTCTCTACAAACACCAACTTGTAATCTCAATGACTTTTTCTTTCTATCTTCTTGGGGGGGGGGGGCGTTTCCATCTTACCTTTTGCTTTAGTGAACGTGTCTTGAGTATTTCATTTTTTAAAAAGGCACCATTACACAGTATATCCATTTATCACATTTCTTAAGTGTTAAGATTCTATGACTCATTTCTATGTATTTTTCTTACTTTACAAAATAACTTGAAACAGTATAGATTTTGTAACTTAATTTGAGCAGCTTTGTTTTGTATTACATTGAACTGTATACAGTGCATGTCACTTTAGGAAAATTAATATTTGCTGCTTTACTTTTTTGCAAAATATTTGCTGTAATGAAGGAATTTCTATTTCCACTATGTATCTTGATTGCATTTTGTAATATTTACTGCTTTGTTCCTAATTCTGCTTTGAAAGTAACAAACTGGGCATGAAACATTAAAATATTAACCCAGAATCTATCAGCTGGATGTTGCTTAAAACCTGTACCACTGCCACGTTTGAAACCCAGAATGCTTTTGTGTTTTAAATTAATAAAACTATTCTCCTTATCCACTTACATGTCTTCCTAGCACCTACAGGCTAGCAAACTCCAGTGGTTTGCTCACGTTCAACCGTCATGGGTCAAGAAAACCCAATGGCATCTGTGTGTGTGTGTGTGGGGGGGGGTGCCTTAAAAACTTTTCTTAAAACAAGCAGCCATCTAAGTGAGGTGTATGACACGGAAGCAGCACTCCAGCCTGTGTGATCTAAGGATTATAAATAAAATCCAAATTCAGTGGAATGATTATTAGAGCTTAATTTTGAACACCCCATTTGGAGAAGACTCTGGATGACAGTAAAAGCTCAAAACTCATTTACAGGGTCCCCCATGTGGGAATAGCCTTGTCATTAGACCAAATGCATTGTGGAGGACTACTGCAGGTACAATTAGGTTAAAATGTGACACCTTGTCATTTGATCTCCCTTTTGATTCAATGTGTTTGGGCTTTTTTTTTTTACTTTTTTGAATACGATTTTTCTCCATTTAGTCTGTCGTTGTTTTTGTCATTTTTCTGTATATGAAATCCAGGATAGGCAAATCTATAGAGACAGCAACTAGATTAATAGTTTTCTAGGGACATGACTCTGGTGGTGTAGTGCTTATGCGTTGGGCTTACAACCCCAAGTCTGCAGTTTGAAATCACCAGCTGTTCCCAGGGAGAAAGATGAGGCTTCCTATTCTCGTAAATATGTAGTGTCTTGGAAACCCCACAAATGCAGTTCTACCCTGTCCTTTGGGGCTGTTATGGAGTCAGAATTGACTTATGTTAGTGAGTTTTGAGAGGGACATGGCAGGAGAGGGTGGTGGGAAATAGGGAGCTAACAACAATGCAGGGAAAGAGAAATATTGATTGTGGTGGTGATTACACAACTCTGGAATATGATTGAACTATGGAGATGTACAATGTGGGAACTGTATGTCAATAAAACGGTTTCAAAAAAAGGGAAAACAAGCCTACTGGGAAACATTGCCCAGCTGACAAGGCCAACGCAGCTCTCATCTCCCCTACAGCTGACAAACAGTAGCATGTAAAAGGCTACTTTCTGATAGATAAATCTTACAAAGAAAAGGAGACTCAAAAATGAGAATTAAAATATTTTATTTTTGCCATCAAGAAGTTCTACGAACTATAGCCGCGAATGGTTTCTGCAAAGTCAGACTTAAAAGTCCTGACAAAGAAACCTGTACAAGTCTGAGCTTAAGAGAACTGGGGGAAGCGAGCAAGGTTGCACATAACTGATAGCGGAGGAAGGCAGGAGTGCTGAGTTCACACTGGATAATTTTGAGAGTCTGCATGCCTTAGAAGACGATGCACCTTGATAAGTTTGGCCACTTGTTTGATTTGGGGTGAATTTTTTTGAGGCGGGGACTGCAGCATTAATTCCTTAGAAAAGCTCTGGGGCAGGAGGGATTTTCACTGCCAAAATGGTAAGGACCATGGATTTTTTTTTTTCACTTTAGTCTTGCAAGATTGCTATAGCATTTTCAATGCTCTGCTTAATGGCAAGGATTTTTCACTTTCGTCATTTAACAACTGACTATTACAAATAGGACCTTTCTGGAATATTTACAAGTTATTGAGCCAAGGAGCAATGCCAACCTGGAAAAAGGGGGGAGCTTGATAGCCAAGAAACTGAAACAGAAGCACCTCACACTACATTTAAACCAGTCTTGCTAGAGATTTCCTAAAGGACTCTTCCCCCAGAACTCCAGACTTTGGACATGGAAAATTCTAGGAAAACTGCAGACTGAAAAAATCCTGCAGACCCTGAGACTTATGCAAGGAAGAGTCATCTGGCAAAAAAATGTATATATATATAAATTTTTTTGTAGCCCCACTACAAAAAAGCATTTAAAAATGGTTAAAAACCCAGAAAATACCTTTAATATGCAGTTTGAATTTAATATTCAGGATTCACACAGAGCACAGCACTTGCCAATAGTTACAGCCACATTAGTCAGATTGGATAGTTTTCCCTTACAGAAAGCCCCATTTGTCCTAACAGGTAGTTAGGAGAAATGACCACCTTTTATTATGACACACTGATTCTTCTAGCAGTTTAAGTCTGAGAAGTCTGGAAGTTCTCTTGGCATCCTCAGTTCCTTCTCACATGTAGAAGCAATTATGTATCACTGGGGAATTAGAACAAATGAAACTTCAAGTCTCCACTGAAAACATTTCAGAGTGCAACCTAGTGTCAAAGAGTAACACTATTAATATCTGCAAAGATATGGTAATTCCGGAGATCACAGCCTTAAGTTACATGCTGCTTTCAAAAGGTCTGAGGGTTAGTCTACCAAATGCTTTGAACTTTTGGACTCAACAGAACAGAAAACAGATACACATCACACTCAACCCCTTGGTATGCAAAGGGTTATATATGTATTTTTTCTCCTTGTAATTAATGCAAATACTGATGCTGGACACCCTCAAGAAGCACTGAGACCATTAAGCTTCCTGTGTAGCTTACCAGCAGAATAACGTACACATAAGAAACAATGATTAAAGCTTTAAGTTCAAAGTCAAGAAATAGGCTATTTTTCAAAAATACATGACTAGGACAAAGAAAACACCTATGTTAAATTAATATTTAAACAAGGTTACAAATGACTAATGACTATGCACAACAATCATTGTTCAGTATCTATTAACTTTTTTTTCCTTTGCAAAAGAAAATCATTTACAGAAGTTCAACAATTCTGTTATAAATGCTAGGCTATATATTTATTCCCATCTGCACACTTTCAGTACTAGCACAATTATGTTTGGATTTTAGTTTCTAAGTGTTTAAATATGTGCCATTTTAAAGGGAATAAAGGTGGTATTTAGCAAGCTAATTGTGTAATTGACAAGCGTACACAACATTCCATTTATCGTTTCCGATGGCTGTACTATTCAGCCATTTGCAGATGGAGTTGAACTTATTTTCAAAGAGTTAAAACCTAAAAGGTCTTGCTGAAAGGAAAATACTAGACCACTGAATCAGCTGTGTCAAATGAATTTTGTTAACCAAGTTTTCTAATATGAATACTTTAAAAATAAATGCCAGGAGCCTCCCACCTGAAGTATGTTAGGACGAATTTAATTTGTGGAAATGATCGTTTGAAAAGAGTTATACATATTGTCAAGGTTCATTTGGTGGCTTTCAGATTCAAAATTTGAAAGAAAAAAAATTGGAATATTTCAACTCAAATGAGCAAAAAGGAAATCTTTCCTCAAGTCCACTCTGTCTTGAACATGTGAGACTGCAGACTTAAAAATAAATGAAACAGATCTTTTCATCTCTTCTTGCCTGCATCATGGAGATCTGTTTTTCCATTACTATCTCACCCCCACCCCCAGACTACATTGCAAAGGCAGATATAGTGGTCCAGCCACCTACGTCTTTTCCAGATGGTGGCAACTAAGAACAGTACTCAATTCTAATTAGCTAAAACTAATTTAGTCTTCAGATGACTTGTCTGCATGGCCATTTGTGTGTGTGTGTTTGTTGGGGGGGAGATTGCTATCTACTTTGATTAACAGAATACACAACCAAGTGGGAGCGTTCTGAGAATCTCCAGAACAACCTTTTTATGCCATATACAAGACACAACACACATTTATAGTCTCAGATGTTAACAAAATTGAGAATTTGGCAGTAAAGTGCTAACAGGGAAGGGGAAAGTTGTAAGGTGTACTAGGGAATACTAATAATTCCAATTCTTTTCAAAAAACATTCAGACTGCTTCAAATTCTAGTCAGAAAACTATCTCTCCAAGCTTTCCACCACCCCCACTTTTTTAACCTTTCAACTGAATTGAAAGCTAACTACATAAACAGGTACTTGGAGGTGGGGGTGGAGAAATGCTCAATTGCTACTCAAACTTTCAGAAAATGTTGTTTCTAAAAATCAGCAAATAATCCAACTGCCTTCTGATGATACGGTCAATCAAGTGAACTCACTGTCACCTTAATTTGTGTTACCAGTCTTCTGAAACCCCTTACCCTAATCCAAGGCAAAATTTTCTGCTATTTCGAAGGAGTTCAATAAGATTCTGGTATTATAAATTCAAACTCAGTACTGCCATCTGTTACATTCTGTTTAAAAATGGAATCATTTTCCTGCTGAGTGAAGATATCATCCCAGGTCATTGGCTTGTTTGGAGCAGATGTGGCCCCTACTGGAGGTTCTTTCCCAGCATCAACCTTATACCCAATACCATCATCCTTCATTACAGGCATAGGGCTTGGCCTATCCGAAAGGTAGGCATATTGTCTGATCTGCAATGACCTGCATGGATGTAAACGATAAAGCTTGGCGTCTCCAGAAGGATCTTGACTATGAACTGACTTGATGTGTGACGACATAAACTGATAGTTGATGAAAGATTTGCCACAGGCCAAACACTGATATCTTCGCTCTCCTGTGTGATGAATTTCATGTTTTGTACGATATTCAGCCAGAGGGAACACTTTCTCGCAGTAGCGACATGGGTACTTCTTCTCCCAGGAGTGAATGTTAAAGTGTCTCCGCAAGCTTGTCAGACAGACATATGACCTTTTGCAGACAATGCAGATGTAATATATTCTCCCATCTACTATTAACTCATAGTGATCATCATGCTTCACTTTCATTCGCTTGTTTGCTGACTCACTGCTAGAGGTTTTGGGCATATCACTCTCAAGTCTGGCCTCCCCTTCGTCAGGGTCATCTTTGACAGGGATCACTATGTCGTAAGTATCTTCACCGATATTTGCATACACTTTACAACCAGTGGACAAGCCTTCAATTTCGGTTGCTGTATCTAAAGTAATGATCTTCTGACCCTCCATTAGATGTTTCGAGCCTAAGCCTGGATCATTAGTGTTTCTAGTAATTATATCTGAAATCTTTAATGAACTGGAAAGTGGGTCATGCAGAAGTGTAGGCATTGGCATCTTCTGTACCAGTGATCCATCAAAAGTGGTATTTGAGGGGATAGCTGCCTGAGGGACCAAAGATGTATTACTGACAGCTGAGTCTGGACTGGAGCTAATAGTGCCATCATCATCATCTATGATTTCTTCTTCCTCCTCTTCATGGGCCCCATTTCCTGATAAAACAGCACTGTTGGGTGGCTGTGGGTTCTGCACCAGTATATTGATTGAAGGGGACATATGGGTTGGAAGCGAAGAAGTGACACTTGGTGGTGCAGTCAGTGGTGCCTGATTGAGCAAAATGATGTTGGGAGTCAGATGTGCTGGGGCTGAAGAGCCCAGCACGGTCTCACTTCCTGGTGTTTGGCTCAGTGTTACCTGATTCACAGAAGGCATCAGTTTCTGCGTTGGTGTGATACTTGCTATAGGGGTAGATTCATTGCTAGCACAGGGTGCAACATCCGAAATAGCAACAGAGCCTGGGTTAGGCTGGACCTGTGGGGTGCTATTCGGCAAAGACTCCTTTGCAGGCAGAATCTCAGAGCAGAAAATGACCTCATCGTCGTTGTCATTATCGTCATCATCAGAATCAGTAACAATGATCTTTTTTGTTTCGTAATCTTTAGCAGACAAGGAAAAAGACTCAGTAATAATAGGCATGACCGTGGTCCCAGCATCTTGAGCTTCATCTTTTGATTTTTGCATCTCGAGGTTCTTGTCATTGGAACCAGGAGGTAAGGGCTCTGCACTTGAGATGCTTTTCACCTGCGACAATGGGACACCAAGCTCGGCTATAAATTTCACTCCTAATAACTGCCCTGATTTAATTAACTCATCAAGCAAGTCGGATCTCACTCGGACAATCTTAGAACTATAGATGTAATTGAGAATTTCAGCAAAGATCTCTGCTCTGATAAAGCTCAGTTCAACCACTTGCCCGGCAACTGAGAAGAGCTGATGAAAGTATGTACTAGAAGCTGAGAGAATATTCCTGTGGGCCCGGAATTTTCGGTCTTCCACAATCACAGTCACATCACAGAAGAGTCCGTGGCCACGCTGCTCATTCAAGGAGTTAAGCAGATTTCCAGAGTATTGGGTGTCTGTAGCAGAAATCAGTTTCCTACTCTCCATGCCTGCAAGAGAAAAGGAAGAAGAGAGGTCAGGAGAACAGGATCGATCAGGAAGGAAAAACACAAGTATGTGCTCATTCAGAGTTTAAGCCACAATATCATTAGCAAATTTATTCCCCTGTTAACAGAAGGTTGGAATCACTTTTTTCGTTTGTATGTGAATTGAATCCGATATCTTATGATTTCCCCATGAAGCACCCCCTACACACGCTCTACAGTTTCAGAGTCATCACCACAGTTACATTCCTTTGACATTCAGATACATCTATCAGCACAAAGCCATCTTTAAAGATTAGAACTAATTTCCTTTTCAAAAAGAATAGAGTTCATTTTTAACATTTGGGGTTTTGGGTTTTGTCTTTTGCTTTTTAGGTTTTGGGGGTTTTTTTTGCTAATTTTACTCAATTGCTTCTCGGTCTTTTAAAAAAAAACAGTTGTTAATATATGGGTCACGAAACATTTGCCACCCCAACAAACTTTGCATGTACAGTTCAGGGACATTAACTGTGTTCCTCACATTGCTCACATAAATGTCCCCATCACCTGGAACAGAAGGACAGTGCCCCCCAGAAGCCTGGGGCCTTCTCTTCTCCCTCCCTCCCGCTGGCCTGCCCACCTCTGGGAGCCATTAATGAATTCTGATCTCCATACACCTGACTACTCCAGATGTTTCATATCAGTAGGATCAATAGGATTTTTGTCCTTTTGTGACACACTTGTTTCACTCAGCATGTTTTCCAGGTTAATTTTAACATTCAGAAAAACCCTCAGCTTGCATACACACAAGCTAACTCATTTGCAACTGAATTCATGGAATGTCAGAACAGCTTAGCATACAAAATGCCAAGTCCAAAGTATGTATTCTCCCTAAAACTTAACAGCTAATCAATCATCTCAGCAGCCCTGGAGGCACAAAGGTTAAGCACTCTGGTGCTGCCGACACAAAGATTGGTGGGTTGAACCCACCAGACGTTCTGAGGGAGAAAAGACCTCTTGACCAATCCCCAGGAAGCCTGGAAAATCCTATAGGGTTATTCTGAGTTCAGATCCACTCGGTGGCACAGGGCAACCACCATCTACCTTTAAGAACACAGTCAAAAGCTACTTTCTGCACCCTGCAACTGAATCCAGCATTCGTATACATGGACAATTATTACTTAACTTCCCATGGTTTTTCTTTTTATTTAAGTAAGGTGCTTTGTCTTGATAAACTATTAAATATCTTTCTTACTCGCTACTTCTTTATTCTCTTTAACGATTAACCCTTTAACCATGGAAAGGTTCTTAGCCCTTTCCTTCACCTCTCTACCTTTATCACCCCAGACAACTCAAAAGCAAACTCAATGCCATGGAGTCCATCCCATCCCACAGGCAGAGCAGAACTAACCCTTTGGGTTTCTGAGGCTATAAACTTTATGGGAGCAGAAAGCCTCATCTTTCTCCCTCAAAGGTGGCTGGGAGTTTCAAACTGTTGACCCTGCAGTTAGCAGACCCACTGAGCCATAATCCCCTGAAGTGGGTTGTAAAACAGAGTACCAAGTGAAGTCAGCAGCTGCCACTGTGAAAAGGGGAAAAACGTTTTCAGTTTTCTATGCCTAATGGCATAAAAACATGAAATATTTTGCTTTGTTAATTAAGAATTATGTGCATTGGGTGTAAAACATTTTTCATGCCAAGTGGGGTGGTAGAGATGAAAACGTGAGCTTATTGGAACAGAACAGACATCACTCTAGAAAAAGGGAGAGACATCAGTTATAGAGCATGGCCATGTCACATCTTCCAAACACTTTTTTCTACCCCGCTTTGCAAAAGATATTCTATGAATCTGAGGTGTGGAAGAGAAAAATATGTGTGTATGTGTGTGCATGTATGTGTGTGTAACTAATTCTTCAGTGATGGACATTGTCAGGTTCCAAAGACCAGGCCATTATGAAAAAATGAGCATATGAAATGGAGGACAACTCTAACGATACGTAGCTGCCAAATGACATCATCAGACAACTGCTCAAAACATCGTTCTATCTAACTGCCCAAAGGCCAAGAATCATAGCCTAGCCCAAATGCCACATTAAGGTCACCATCACAGCCAGGGCCGCTCTCACTTCACACCCAATATTCTTCACTGCGAGGGTCCTCCTTTATGCACAAAATAGTGGGAGAGGTATTTTTCACTGTGGTTGTAAATGTGAAATGTTGGCTAGTGAGAGTACCGTTAAGTGAAGTATAGATGTATATATATCTATATATGAACAGATACACACGAAGGGACTTTAAAAAAGTTTGTGGGAAAATTCCATGATCTTTTTATTCCATCCCCCTCCCAACACTTTGAAGCCCCCTTGCAAATTTAAATGTTAACAATGAGTTCATAAGTACTTTTGGCACCCTAACAATTTTACTATTAATATTCTGCCCCTTTAAAGTTACCAAAATAGCACCGCTGTCCCAGGGTGTCAGTTATGGGTGTTAATACTATCCTATACACAGTGGGAAGGTAGAGTATCTGAAACATCTTCTGAAATTTCTCACAAAGATAGTTTAAGAACAATAAACAGCAAGAAGCCTCAAAGCCATGGACTACACACACCTTATCTGTTAGGAGATGATGCTTGTTCACAGCACCCAGGAATCTCAGGTTGCCAAAGACACTCATTGGAAAGGGTGACCTTTGGCCAGCTTGCTGCTGAAATGTGGCGATTTCAACAGAAGTCACTTTTTAAGTGGAGAGGTTTTCGAGACCTGCTCCTGCAAATTGTCACTAATGCGTGGTTTTGTTTTTCCTCAACGTGGACATTGGTGGAAATGCCCATGCTCAGGTGACACTGGGGTTTGGTTTCGTTTTGTTGATAGGTTTCCCCTTTTCCCCATCAGGTCATGGGAACCCACCCCAAGATTCACGACTTGACCTGGAAAAGTCATTGGGCATCCTGGGGGGTGGGAGCGAATCTTGGACCTAGGGCAGGTAGAAGGAGGGGTTGGGGAGGGTGGAAAGGAGTGCGGTGGGAGGAAAGCCCCAGGAGCCGGGTTGGGGAGGACATGGGGTGGGGGGGTGAGGCAGGTTCTATCCCCGACAGGACACGCGGCTCCCTGAGGCAGCAGCACCCCAGCTCCCCTCCTCCACCGCCCGCTTCCCACTTTGCCCCCAGCTGGCTGCAGCTGAGCTTCTGAGCCTCTGTTCCCATGAAAAGAAAGCTCCGGGCACTGGGGGACTGAGGTGCAAACAGCAGGGAGAAGAGGGGTGCCAGGGAAAGTAGGAGCTGGTGAACAGAAGGGTTGGGTGCTGCGGGGGACGCCGCCGAGCAGGCGGCATTGTTAAGCCTGGGGAAGGGGACAGAAGGGGAGGATGGGCCGACCGAGAGGCAGGAGAGCAAAGAGGGGGCGAGGAGGAGGAAAGGGGGGCCGAAAACGGCAGGCAGAGGGGCGAGAAGGGCCCAGGGGGTGTCAGCGGCGGGCTCCCCAAGCCCCCGGCCTACCGGGGCAGGGACGGCCCCTCAGCCCTGGCGGCGGCGGCGCCAAGGCCCTGCAGGACCGCTGCCTCCCGGGCCCACACAAAGAAAGGGCTGCGGAGCACAGCCGCGGGCTCGGCCGCTTCCTGGTTCCGGAGAGGAGACCGCACCGGCGGCCGGGTGGGCGGCCGAGGGGCCCGGGAGCCAGCGAGCAGGCGCGCTCCTCCGCGCCCGCTCCCCCGCCCGACTGGGGCCAGCTCCTCACCTGCTTCCTGGCGCCGCCGCTTCTCCTAGAGCCGCGCGGAAGGGTGGGAGTCCGCCAACAACAGGGAGCGGGACTCCCCGGCGATCCGACTGCTGCTTTAAACGTCGCTCCAGTCCCGGCCGGCCGACGTCGACGCCGCCGCGGCCACAGCTGCTCCAAGCCGCCAACAGAGGGCTGAGCGCGGAAGCGCAGCTTTGAACTCCAAGGCTCCCTCCTCCCGCTGGACCAGCTCGAGCGCTTCCGGAGAGCTCCGATCGCTACGTGGGCGGCTCGCCTGAGGCACCCTACGCTGCTTTCGGCTCTTTCCGGAAGGGGCGGGGGAAGACTGGGAAGCTGTTGGAGCAGTTTGCTTTTTCCCGGAGGGCGAAAGGGTGGGAAAAAAGAACAGGAACGTTAGGTGAGGTAGTTAATTGTGCCAACCTGGCCGATAATCACATGTGGGCCTAACTGAAAGGCGGAGGGATCAATGGGTGGTGAGCCTCGCCTTTCTAGTTCTCGGGTCTCTTGCTTTATGATGGTCGCACCAGGGTGCAGTAGCTGCCTTAGCAGTTCCCTGCTTCAGCTTGCAAGACTGACTTCCTACAAGACATCCCCAAGGAGAAGCCGCATGGACCTATCCCGATGCAGCCCTGGGTGCTGGAGCAGCCATGTGGAGACCCCTGCTAGTGCTGAGATGCTTACACGTTCACTGACTCAGCTTTCCTCCTGCAGTCGGCATCATTGCCTCTGTTCTGTGAGGTGGAAGACTTTGTGGACTGGTGTTGGGTTAATGGGTTAATGTTGGACTTGTGGGCTTGGGCAGCATTGGGTTGGGATGTTTTCGTGATGCACATTTTCTTTACATAAAACTCTCTCTTATACATGAGTTGCTGTGGATTTGTTTCTCCTAAGTACCCAGACTAACACATTAGGGTAATGCTACCACTGGCCGTTAGGGACAGAGGCAAATTTCATCCCTGGAACCTAAATAAAAATAAAAATCACTGTAAGGTTTTAGGACACAAAAAACGTGCAGGCACGCTACGGTTTTCATTTCTGTGACAGGTTTGACTTTGAATCTCCACGGTTAATTAGCCTGTCTGTGGCGTGATCCCTGTTGCTAGGGAGTTGATGCTGACTCTTTTAGACCCCATGTGTTACACCGTAGAAATACTCTTGATGGATCACTAGGTAAAGGCTTTGGACTGTTATGAGCAAGATTAAACTCACCAGCCGCTCCCGAGAGAAAGAAGTGCTGTCTGCTACCATAAAGGTTTGCAGCCTACAGGGTTGCTATGAGTCAGAATCAACTTGATGGCAATGGATTTGGGTTGGAATCTTTACGGAAGCAGATCACCAGACCTTTCTTCTGTTATGCCTCTAGATGGGTTCAAACTGCTAACCTTCAGGGTAGTAGAACAGGTTTGTGTCACTCCGGGACCTAGCTTCATGATAACCACCTGGAAATAGAAGCTGAATATACATGCACAAATAAAATCCATCAACACGTGATGGTAACGACACAAGTACATAATAAGAATGACTTTCGAGATAAAAATCTAGTGTTGGGACAAGCCCAATATTCTTAATTGACTACCAAGGGATGCAAACCTTACTGGCCACCTGCTTAATCTGTACAGCAAACCATATGTTAGAGTTTGTAGGAGGGAAACAAGCTCGCTATAGGCTTCCTCCACCTGCTGGAGCAGCTCGGGCTCTTCCAGGGAGGTCCCTGCAGTGTTGTTGCACCAATATAGATACACAGACAGAAGAAAGGATTTGTACAAGTTATAGAAGCACCAAAAAACAAAACAAAACAGAAACCACCCCAGAAACAAACACACTGACATCTAGTCCTTTCAGACTCATAGTGACCCTATATGGCAGTGGTTCTCAACCTTCCTAATGCCATGGCCCTTTAATACAGTTCCTCAAGTTGTGGGGACCCCCAACCATAAAATTATTTTCGTTGCTACTTCATCACTGTAATTTTGTTACTGTTATCAATTGAGCTTTTTTATGGAAGCATAGAGTATGGCAAACTAAATATTGGCACTTGAATTGTATCTTGAAACAGCAACAATATTAATATTTCTAATTTACATTAACATTGTTACTTTCCTCTTCTGATTTCTATACCATTTCATCTTTAGAGTGCCTTAGTGCCTGGCACGGAGCCCTGGTGGTGTAGAAATTATGAGTTAGGCTACCAGTCTCAAGGACTGCAGTTTGAAACCACCAGCTGCTCCGCGGGAGAAAAAGGGGACCTTCTACTCCCATAAGGAATTACAGCCTCAGAAATGCACAGAGGCAGTTCTACACTGTCCTATGGGGTCACTGTGAGTCAGCATTGGCTTGATGGCACATCTTGCGTATAGTAAATGTTCAGTACTTGATAAATGGATACATGAGTGAGCACCATCATTTAAAATCGTCTGGTAACAGACTTCTGACTAAGTACTATGATGAATGAAGTAATAAGATAAATATTTGGAGAACAAACTATTTCCCTTTTGGCTGCATATTGAACATATTCAATGAAGGAACCAAACAGTAGCTTTTTCTGTGCCAATTAAGGTCACACAACACCTTCATTTAAAAAAAAACAACGATGTGCATAGAATAATATTGCATCGGTCCCCCCAAACTTGCATTTGCACTTATTCACCCTTCAGTTAGAATTCTTGTGATTTCCATGAAAAATCTTGTTGAGAAGGTCTATCTGTCAGTAGCTTAGTAGAACAAAACTAAAAATAAGACAGAGTCTCTGGATGGCACAAGTGGTTAAGTGATCAACTACTAACTGGAAAGTTGGTAGTTCAAGTCCACCCAGAAGCACCAAGGAAGACTTGCTTCAGAGAGGTCACAGCCTTGAAAAAGCCTTGGGGGACTTTTGCCTGGAGCCAATATATGCATAATAGCAACTGACAGCAACTGAATTATGATAGAGACCTCTTCATTCACCGTACAGGAAATCTTCCACACTGGTAACAAATGCCCCTCACTCTCCTTCAACACAGCAGGAATGGAACTGAAATTAAAATGCTATCTATAATTAAAGGGGCTCTAATGATCAGGACTGGGCCTCGTTTTGTCCTTTTGTACTGAAGGTCCCTACGAGCAGAACTCGATTTGATGGCACGGAACAACAACAATCTGGCAAGGATCTAGAGCTGATTTGGCTGATGAGCTGGATGGACACAGTGGTGGCAACAATGGGCTCAAGCATAGGAATGATTGCTAAGATGGCACCGGGCGGAGCAGTGTTTGGTTCCATTGTACATGGAGTTCCTTGACTCAGAACCAATTCAACGGCACCTCACAAATGATAAGAAATAGAATTGTATTTCTAGGCACGCAGAACAATCCAATAAACTCAAGGAACCCCAATAACTGTCCTTGGATCAGGATCATTGAAAAGTCTGGTTAAGTTTCTGTTTCTCAATTCTACCAGTGAACAAAAGAATTCACAGCTAATTTGCCTTTTGCCTGCAGGCTTAACCCTCCTCCAAACACCCTAGCTGATTTTAAAGAGAACTTTTTTATCAAGATAGGGAGTTTTCACATTCCAGAAAGTTTTTTGAGTGGCGGATAATAAAGCTAGTCATATTTACTAACAACATTGTTAGGGCTTGCTTGACTTGTTTGGACTTAATTTTGAACTTCACAAGAAAATCTGGTGGCCCTGCATTCATTGCTTTGCCCACCAATTCCCTCCCCCTGCCTCCACCTCCTTCCCTGATAAAGCATTTGATTCAGTCATTGTCTGTATGCATCCACTTTTTCTGTGCTTCATAACCTGGGAAACCTAACAGAAATAATCATCATCTAAAGATAAAAATAAAGAGGATAAAAAAGAGCACCAACAGTATTTTTAAAAGCACAGAAGAAATTCTGTCTTGAAACAAGTGTGACATATTTAAGCCTAGAACACATTCAGGATGGCTCAAGAGGGAGGTCAACATGACCAGATACATATTACACCTTAGTTCAATCCAACAAAATCGAGTTTACAATGATCTCTATCTAGCTGTTCATGTCCCTCAGCTTGGTCGGAGGGGAGCTGCAAGAGGCTTAATCTGACTAGATGGTCTGCAGATAGATTTCGAGCTCCCACACCCTTCTACAAATTGGATGTTCACAATTTCCGCTCGTATACTTTTCCCTTCATCATATTTGGATTTTTTTAACGCCATCTTTGGATCACACAGGCTGCTGTGCTTCTCCAATGTGGACTTTATGGAATTAAAAGCCTTTCAGACCCCAGACACTATTCCCATTGATAGCCAAGCACCATGTGCTTTCTTCACCACGCTCGGCTATAGCACCCTTATCTTCAGGGATCTCTGCATGAAGGCGAGTATAGAGCAGGGCCATGTTATAAGAACTAACTTTTCTTAGATTGGGGCTAGAGTTAAATTCCCATGAACTTTTTGAAGCCCCCCTTTGACTCTTGCTCTGCATTTGTAAAATAGGGATTAAGATATCACCACAGGGTTGTTTGAGGATTAAATGAAATAACTATGTAAAATGTCAAACTGCTTACAGTGTCCAGGTCGCTTAGTCTGAGTTCTCTTGATAAGCAAAACCAGTGATACTTATATGTGTATGTATATAGGAAGAGATTTATATCAATAAATGAGTCACACAGTTGTACAAACGGGTAAATCCAGTTCAATTCTATGGGTCAGATGGCAAGCTGGAGGCCTCTCCAGATCCGTGTAGCTGGAGGGGTCAATGAACCAGGAAGCAGGAAGACCACAGGCTGTCTTTGGACTCAATCATTTCTGCCTCCACTAGCCTGCTGAAACAGACTGCCACATCTTTCTCCTGTGGACCACCTGGAGGGTTCAAATTATCAGCCTTTCCTTTAACAGCCTGGTGCTTAACCCTTGGATAACCAGAGCATCTTCCTGTTACCTAACCCATGCTAAGTACAACCACTTTTTCACCATTATAACCTTTTTTTCTTAATCCCAACAAGTTACTTGTTTAATACTGTGAATTGCTCTTTTCTTCCTAAAGCTATCCAAAGGCAATGCAATAGGGATGTATCCCATACTGGGGAGTAAATAAGTATTTGCTACCAAAAATAGTAAGTATAAAAAGAGGCAATATGCTGTAACTTAT